AGCTACTTCCGTGCAACTGATATAAGATGCGGTAAGCTGAGGACAGCTTCAACCACTTGTTTGCACTGCATTTTCTTGTTAGTAACGGTAACGGCGTTGTAACGATAGGAATAGTAATTAGTTAGATTACTCGTGACTGAAAAAAGTAACACCGTTAGTAACACCGTTACTTGTAACGCCGTTATTCCCATCACTGATTATGTCCATGTCAGCAAAGACCCGAGAGATGAATCTGTCCAAAGCTATTTTACTATAAGAAAGAAGAATACTGCTTCAAAACAAGTGATGAAGAAGCAAAGCAGCAGAGCGGCCTATTGCATCATATTAACATTTTTATTTAGAGCCTACTGAAACGCTGCAACTTCAAACAGATGGAAAAACCTGTTACATTTACAACATTACAATTACTATACCGTAATTACTCTAACTTAGAGTGATAACATTACATCTTTACATTCTGAAAATAGCAACATCAGCTGTCTCTTCTATGAGTACAATGCTTACCTTCTGATGATAAACATGAATAACAATGTTCCATAATTAGAATCTTTAAAAAAAAAATCATTCAAACACAAATATTTGCAAAAAAAAATCCTTTGTACTTAATGACCATTGGTGGTATTTCAGTATCATGTTACATAAAAAGCTCCCGTTTCAGTCCTAAGAATTCTAGTGCGTTTCCAGCAAGCAGTTTATCCTGTAACACAAAAGAGAGAGTCATTATTTTGAAGATATTAAAAAAATCTGTCATTAAAATCTACAAAAAAACTGTAATGCCAAGTATATCATATTGGATACATGAGCTTTTGGGGGGCCTCTATATCATCAGTGTGATTTGTTTTTTAAATCTAAAGAAAATACACACATACACAAATTAAAACACATATATTTGTTAAATTTGTTTTAGAGTTTTCTTTGGTTTTGTTTTCTTTGTTAAGTGTTCAATAAACATGGTTCAGGATTTACATGATGTACAATGGCTGGCTTTCCTTTCTTTCCATGTGTGGTAGAATCCACCACGATGACAAACCCTTTCTCCTGTGCTGCTTAAGTAAACGAGAGGAAAATAATGCTACCTTTAGTGTATCATCAAACACATCCATCGACTCGATGAGTGATCCTGGCTGTAGCTCACCAAGTGGGAATGGATAATCTGTTCCCAGCATCACTTTATCCTGGAACAGGAAAATGTGAACTTAGCACATGAAGATTTGGTGAAAGCAGGAATAACTCCATCCTGAAAACATCAGTGTTTCCACACATCAGCATACACTCTCACAGTCCACATTCTCTGTGTTTAGTCAGTACTCTTCAGTGTGTTTTGAATCTATCCTCTCTCGCCAC